GCCCTGTAAGCTGGCGGGGGGGCCCCCACCTGGAGACTGTCACATCTTCCAACAAACCCTGTGGGCCCCAGGGGCTCCCTCTGCTTTGGGGGTCTCCAGTACACCCAGGCCCTGAGACCCTGCCTCCCTTGGCTGGAGTTGCCTCCCTCGGAGGACGGAAGACAAATGTCCCCCAGGGACCTACAGTCGTCAGGTTCATCTTGGTGTTCGTCTGACCAAGAAATAGAAACGTTCACAATCAGATCTGCCTTTATTAACATCCAGTCGGGGCTCCTGCACCTCACAGAGGCTTCAGGGGACCTGCAAATGCCAGTGCTGACAGGCCAGGCTGGCCTCCGAGAAGCTCACTGCCCCCTAGAACAAGCAGAAGCCCCAGGAAAGGGCCCTCAGGATCAGGCAAAGCCTCTGCCCAGTGCCCTGTCTGCTGTGGAGATGAGAGATTCTGGGCGCCCTCAGAGCAAAGGCTGCCATGCATCTTGGTCAGGCAGCCCAGAGGACACGGAGTCCTGGGATGGCTCTGGGGACACCTGGCCACGGTGCCGATGCTGCAGCGAGGGGTCCTTCTCCTGCAAGCAGAGTGCATATGAGGAGGCCCTGACCCCAGACAGAATGGCCGGGGCAGCTGAGAGCAGCCCTCCAGCTCACCGAGTCTGAGCCTCGCTCAATCTGGGTGCTCTGGAAGTCAGCATACGTGTCCTTGGAGACATCCGGCAGCTCTTCCTCATACTCAGTCTGGTAGTCAGATTCATCTGGAGCAACAGAGAGAACCTCGTGGATGAGAACTGTGGAAACTCAGGCAGAGCACGGCCACAGACCCCCTTACCCGCAGCAGCATGGGCCCCAGATCACACCTGGCCCTGCCCACCTGGAGGGTCTTCCACAAAGACACAGAGCAGCAGACCCTCCTTGCCAACTCCCAATGGGGCAGCCTTCAAGAGCAGAGCTGCAGTGCCTGGCCAGCATATGTGGCTCGATGTCTGGGAGTCTCTGGTCCCCCTTCAAGAGCGGATAGGCTGTCCCCTGTGGGGAGGACCTGTGGTCCTGCAGGTTCCTATCAGGTATGGAGCATGACTGGGGATGGGGTGAACAAGGGAGAGGCCTGGCTGGCCTGGGGAGCCATGGGGTCACTTGAGGCTTTTGGGGCTTGACAGAATGCAGCAGTGCTGGCCGAGCTTCCTGGCCAGCGGAGTCCAAGTGTGAGTAACTCCCTTAGGTGGGGGAAGGAGCCTGGGGTGCTGTCTCTTGGGTGCCCAACTCACCATCCACTACAGTTGCCTTGGCAGGCTCGATGCGTGACACCATCTCAGCGAGGTCCGTGAAGGAGGCATTGGGGCAGGGCAGGACCTGGAGTGCATAGGAAAGACAACACATCTGCTGGGCACTTGGCCGACATGGGCTGCCTCAGAAGGTAAGATGGGACCCACAAGTCACTGCCAGCCCAGCTCTGGAGCTGTAAGGAGATTCCCACCACCTCACCGTGCTGGCTTTCTTCTTGTTTGTCCCCTGCTGGTCCTGCAGCATCTTCTCCAGAATGCCACTCCTAACCCAGATGTCGAACACAGTTCGCCCATGCTGGTAACCCACTTCCTACACACACAGCAGGACCGTCAGGAGGCATAGGACCCCAAACACACATACCCAGTGCTGTCAGGAGGGAGCTGGGGACCACGCTGCCCCACACCTGGGGCTGGCACTCACACAGATCTCGTCAAACTTGCTGAAGTCCAGGGTACGGTAGTTGTCGATAGGGGGCCGCAAGTACTCACAGTAGTCACTGTTCTTCACCATCTCCAGCTGCCGGACGCAGCAGACGTAGGCCAGGCGGGTCTGAATCTCAGCCATGTTCAACACCTGCTGAGATACACCCATATCTCCTGGCCCAGGTGCAGCACAGGCTGGGGGTAAGTTCTGGGTGCCTTTTTAGTCCTTCCTTTCCCTAGGGCTGGCCCCAGGGCCAGGGGAGGGATACTGAGTGATCTGCGGGCCTCTGCAAGACAGAGGGCACGGGGGACTGCAGGCAGGAGCCACAGGGGGTACCCCAGCCACCTGCCACCACTCCTACCTTCACTTTTGTAGCCAAGGGGTTCCAGCGTTTCCACAGCAGCCACCACCCAGATAGTGCATCGCCGTAGTTGGTGAGGTCCATCTCGTCTCGGCTGCCCACATCAATGGCGATCACCACCTTTGCCCCCAGGGATCTGGCCACATCCGCTAGGTAGGAAGCAGCCTTGGTCACCCCCTGGGTCAGGGAGCATGGAGCCAAGACTAGGGTAGAACCCCAGCCCTGCCTCACTGTCCCCAAAGGCCAGTGGAAGCAAGAAGTGTGGGTCCTGATGAGCACCCGTCCAACAGGTAGCAACACATGTGATACCTGCAGGCTGTTAGTCCCCAACTGTGGGCACAGATGGGAACTAAGTGCTCTGGTTTGTCTACTTGGCCTTCGCTCTGCGCACCACTGTGCTACCAGGGACAGCCATATGCCAGGCACACTTGGTACACGCGCAATGTGTGTGTGTGTGTGTGTGTGTGTGCGCACGCGCGCGTGTGAGTGTTTCTAACTGATGCCAGCCTGACATTCTCCCTTGGCACACTCCAAGGAAAACGTGTGCCACCCCAGCCTTCCTGGTGTGGAGGCGGCTGGGCAGGCAGCCATGGAGTGGAGTGACCGAGCAGCCATTGTCCCTGTCCCAGCTCCCCCAGCCCGTACTGCACCTGGGAGGTTGTTGATGTAGCCCCCATCCATTAACAGGTGTCCATCCTTGGGGTCACAGAGAGGGGGCATATAGCCCGACAGGGACATGCTGGCACGCACGTACCTCCACAGAGAGCCTGGTGGTCAAAAGGGTCTGGTGTCAGAGGGGCCAGGGAGAAGCCTTTGGCCACCTGCCACGGCTTCTTGTCCTAAGACCACAGGTTGGCCCAAGAACATTTACGTCCTACTTTCCAGGGAGGGCACCAGGCCAGTGACAGACCACTGCTGGGACCCCAGTCCCTGAAGGCACTCACCCCAAAGGAAGCATCCCTCCTTCTGCTCCCCCATAGGGCCCTTTTGTCCACCCAGATATTTGCTCCTGACTGTTCCTATCCATCTGGGTGCCCATGAAGGGACCTCCCCTGCCTCCCTTGGAGACCTGTCCATACTGCTTTCCTCCTTCCTGAGACCCCTGGTGCCCCCGCAAAAGCACCCACTCTCCTGCCATGCTCCTGCCATACCCCGGGCACGGTGGACCCAATGGGCTGCCCTTGGCTGCCTGGAGCTGGAGGAATGCTCACCGTCCATGTGGACCCGCATGGCAGAGGCTGTGATGTCTGTAGTGATGGCAAAATAGGGGAGCCACAGGTCCTGTGGGGAGGACAGGACTCAGAGGACTCCCTCGTGTACTGAGGACTCCCAGGAACCTGACACCAGCCAAGGATGGCTGTGGGTCCTCACCTCAATCTGCTGGTCTCTGAAGATGCTGCAGATACTGCTGTTGAAGCCAGCTCCTGAGAACATGGATGTGATTGGGTAGGTCAGGTCCAGCATGGCCTTCACCATTGATGTCATGTCCTGGGGACACAGGAGCCTCTGCAGAGCTCATCCCAGTTGGGGACCCTGCCTGGTGCAGGACACAGCACATGTGTGTGCTCCCAGTAGCAGGATACAGCTGTCTAGCAGCGTCCTATGGCTCTGACATCTCCAGAGAGTGCCTGCCATGGGCCTGGGCCTCAGAATAGGCACAGAGGCCCTTGGTCCCTCCTTGACACTAGGGTAGCCTCACCAACACCCTTGTGCCTGCCCAAGCCTCCAGACTGAATCAGGAGCAGCAGGCAGGACAAGCACTGTGGCGGGGGAAAGGGGTGTCAGCAGCTGGAAGAACCCAAGGACCACTCCTCACTGGCTGGGGTCCTCAGAGTTGAGGCGTAATTGCCAGGGAGCCCCCAGTCGCCTCTCCAGAGAACAGAGGACTGTATAAGGTTACTGTAAGGCTCTAGTGCACAGGGCTCTTTCCCACACCTGCTTTCACAGTGGTTGGGGGTGGGGGAAGCGGGCACCTGTGATCAGAGGATGTGTGACTAGTTTTATCTGAGCATGTCCAGTCTCAAGGCCAGCCCCTGACCTCTTAGGTCAGAGATAGAAAACAAGGATCCTTACTACTCCTGGGGGGTGGGGGTGGCCCAGGACAGCGATGAGGGACAAGCCTAGAGCCCCACTGGATGTGCAGAGGCCATACAGTCGCAAGGAATGATGCTCTCCCTGCAGACAAACCAGGAAGCACAAGCCAAGATGTCCTGAACTCTGCCCAGGGCCCAGTCCACCCCCCAGGAAACCTCTGCCTGACTCCAGAGAGCCACTGCTATCCTCAGTGCTGGCTGCCACTCTGCTGGTCCCACAGCCCAGCACACCCTCGTAAAGGCAGGAGGAACCTAAATCACCCTGACCATTGCTACCCCTGTCCTCTGCACCAGACCCTCAGAGGACCTCCCGCAGCCTCCCCAGCCTGGGACTGGACCCTCGATATGCTCTCCCCTGCCTGCTGGACACTGTCCCCTGTGGCCTCTGCTCTCAGAAGCCAACCCTAGTGACTGCTCCTGTATCATCAGGACACAGGATGTGTCCCCAGGCCCTTTCCTGGGTAGCCATACTGAAGGGTAGGTGGGTAAGCCATTTCTAGAGTAGAGGGCTGCACGCCAGCATCCTCAGGGCCTGGTGGCAGGTACAGTAGCAGCAAAGAGCACATCTGAGAGCTCCCATATGGAGGATAACCAATTCCCATTTTAAAAAGCAGAGCAAAGTGTCTTTGATCCCATGTAGGGCTGCACTGGGCTCTGCCTGTTCCTTGGGAGCCGCTCGCTGCAAGGCTTGAGCCAGGCGTGCTGTGGCTCTTTTCATCCTGCATCTGATGCTTCGGTTCTCAAGCCCACTTCTTCTTCTAGATGAGGCTAGAGCTGTCTACATCTACTCTGTGCCCAGCCAGAGCCTGTACCACTGCTCCCTCATCTGACTCATACCAAGCCAGCATTCTGCCCATGGTGCCCAAGGCCGGCGGAGTGCCCCCAGGGCTAGTCTTGTGCTGCTGTCCTGCCCTGCTTTGCCACTTACTCCTCTTGCTCCTGACTGGCCCTGGGCCCTGCACAGCACACCATACCTCTTGTTTCCAGGGACTGCAGGTGACCGCTATCTTCCCCATGTGGGCACTGGGTGACACTGACCCCTTCACGCTTCCTTCTCTGGCCCCACTCTGAGATCTACAGGTCTGTCTCCCTGAGACCAGGCCCTTGGAGGGTGCAGGCTGCTGCTCACCTCGGCCCACTGCTTGGCTCGGATCCGCATCTGGCAGTAGTTCCGCTCCTCAGCGTACAGGGCACCCATGAAGGCCCCAATGGATGTGCCTCCGACCATGTCCACAGGGATGCCACACTCTGCCAGGGCCCGGAGGATGCCTACCTGGGCACAGCCTCTTCACAGAGCCAGGACACAGAGAAGAAGTGTGTCACCAGGGCCTGCCCTGGGCCCTACCCCACCGCAGCCCACCATTCCTCTATAGTTCCTGACTCCTGAGCAGGGCACAGAGGGGCAAAGGTGCTGCTCACAAAGGGAGTGTGCATGTGATTTCAAATCTGTCCTGGGCTGCAGCGCAGCTTGGTGGGTGAGCACTTGCCTAGCACGTGTAGGGGCCCTGGATTCCATCCCCAGCACCTCACACAGGCTACGTAGATAAACAGATTAAGCTGGTCAACCAATCCGTCTCTCTGGAGGTGCTGAGGAGATCAGGGGGCTGAGACGGGGAAATGGGAGGAGCGGTCACACGCAGAGCCCACCCAGCATCTTCAACCTACAAGTATTTGCTGACTGCAGCGAGGCGGAGGAGCACAAGACTTGCAGGCTCAGCTGGGCACAGGGGAAAGAGAGGTGACCCCTCCCCAGGAGTCCTAGTGAACACCTCAAAAACCCTGAGATGATGAAACATTAAAAGAAGTCAGGAAAAGATACTTGATGGGCCAAAAGCACCAAAAGAATAGAATATGTAAAATACTCTTTTCCAAAGTAGATAAAGAGCTGCTGTGGTGGCACATGCCTGTAATCCCAGCACTCGGGAGGCTGAGGCAGGAGGATCACTGTAAATTGGAGACCAACCTGGGCTACACAGTGAGTTCCAGATCAGTCTCAACTACACAGTGCGACCCTGTCTCAAAAAAAAAAAAAAAAAACAAACTAAGAAGGAACCAAAATGAAACCACTCCTGACAGGCATAATGGCACATGCCTGTAATCCCAGCACTTGGGAGGCTGGGGCAGGAGGATCACTGAGAGTTTGAGGCCAGGCTAGGCCACATAGTGAGTTCAGGGCCTGCCTGGAGATTGTCTCAAAACAAAACAAAAAAATCAAGTAGAAAGACCAATAATAAATGGGTAGAAAATAAACTATTAAAAAAAATCATCCCTGCATTACTGAAGACCCAAGATAAAGAAAAACATCTTCAGACTGAGAGAAAAAACAGAAGAGAAGATGACGGCAAGGCTGTGGCCCAGCAGTGAACACCTGCCCGCACGTGGGAAGCCCGGGGTCACCACTGCGGCGTCAGAGCAGAACCAGGGAGGGAGCCAAAGGGGTTGTTTCTGGGACTCTAGGCTAGTGATGCCGGGGGCTGGCAGCCAGCTTCTAAGAGCTCCTGAGTGCACTCTGACTAAAATCCCTGCAAGCCAGGCCAGAAGCCTGGGCCCAACCCGTGCAAGGCCTTGCTGTCCAGACTCACGGAAGGGACCTGGGCTCTCTCCGGCCTGACAACCACCCCATCCTTTCCGCCTGTATTCAGGTGGGAGCAGGGCACAGGCAAGTCTCAACTCCCGCAAATTCTGGGACTCCAAGATGTGGTGATGCAGTGCTGGGCAGAGCGAGGACTCAGAGATGAGGAGTGAAAGGAGAACCTTCCTACCTGGCCGGGCTGCTCTGAGATCTTCCACCAGAGCAGGAAGCCCACGGCTGCCCTCCTTCCCCAGCACAGATGTACCCCCACCACACCTGTGTCACCAAGGAAGTCACTTGCTGGGCTGCAGGAATTCTTGGGATTAAAAGTTCTTTAAGGCAGCTGGACGTGGTAGTGCACACCTATAATTTCAGCATTCAGGAGGCTGAGGCAGGAGAACTGCTGCAAGTTCGTGGCCAGCCTGGGCTATATACTAAGTTCAAAGCCAGTCTAACCTACACAGCAAGACCCTGTCTCAAAAGTTAAAAAAGTCCTTTAAGGAGCCCACAGTCCAAAGAACTAAAGACTGCTTTGCTAGCTCACCTACGGCAGACCAACTTCTTACTCTATAGACCACATATGAAAATGGAAAGAAACTCACCAGGAGCACAGTGGAGACACTGGTGAAGGACAAGGGTGCAGGTTCAGAGGAGGAGACACAGCGGCTCACATGCACGCAAACACGTCTAAGCAAGAACAATCAGCACACGATACAGTGTCTCCTCCTGAACTGGCAGTGAAGGAACCTGGCCTGCTGAGTGCATGTATAGACTCTCCTGGGGATGGCAGAGGTCACCACTATCTGAGTCTTCTGTATGTGGCGTGACACCCCTCTCCTCCTGGTACCCAGCACAGCACTCACAGGGCTCACCTTGCTCCCCCTCCTCCAAGCACCAAGGCAACAGCGTTGCCCGTTAGCACACGTGCCAGGCGCGAGAAGTCTGAGTGACGGTCTGGAAGCCGCTGGAAGACGCGCTCATACATCTCCATCTGAGAGGGCAGCAGGGGAAAGGGCTCGAAGGACCCTAGCCAAGACCTGTGTACTTGGGCTTCCTCCAGTCTACATCCAATGTCCTCTGCAGGACATGACCCTGTTGGGACCTTGGGGCCAGGGCTGGGCCATCGCTAACCAAGAAGCTATCTCGACTGTCCTGGGAAGAACCCCACTGGCCCTTTTAGCAGACAGTGCTGGGCCTTGGGGGGCATAGGAGCCTAAGCAAGGGCTGAGTGGGCTGGGGACGCCTTGTGGAAGAGGTACCTCAGTGCCCACGGACTCCTGTCTGCTTCTATCTGACCACTCTGGCTCTGCAGGCCCTTCACTGAATGGGAGACTTTCAGGCCCAGGCTCTGGCTTTACTTTGCTGGCTTTCCTGGTCCCCAGGACACTGCCGGCCCCTGTGCTGGGCCTCCACTGTACCTCCTATATGCAGGGCACAGTATCATGTATGTGGCAGCCCAGGAGCCCCAAAATCAAGGTCAGACAAACATGGATTCCTAGCCAGAGTTCAGGCAGAGATGCCTCCCAAACAGCACCCACAGCCTGCAGGTGGGACAGTCAGGGAGTGGAGGAAGATGTCTGGATGGCAGGCACAGGATGGGTAAGAGGTTGGGGGTCCTACTGGCCTCCCAAGCCTTACCAGCTTGGGCAAGCTCCTCCTGGAGAAGATGCGCCGTGGACAGCAGAGGTGCAGGTGGCCTGAGCACCAGCTCCGCATGTTGAGCCACTCCACAGTACGGGCTGGTGCTGGGCCCTCAGCCCTGTGCAGCAGGATCAGCTGTTTCTGGGCACGCATGGCTGTGCTCTCCAGCATTCGCTCCAGCTGTGGGGAGCAGGGCTGTCAGCTACCAGGCAAGACTGAGGGCCCACAGCTGGATGGAGTTAATCTGGAGATGCCTGCCAGCTGGCCCCACAGGACAGACAGGCCACAGGCAGGACCAGAAAGTGGCTCCTGCTTCTGTGAATGACTGGGCCATAGCATGGCCTGACTGGAGGCTACCCAAGCTCTGACCACAGGACTTGCCAGGTTGTGTGTACCAGGAAGTCAGCATGGCCACAGAGGAGCTGGGTACAAGAACAGGGACACCTCTTTTGTCTGTTCCCAATGCTGCCTCATACACACCCACTGTGACCTCTGCACGATGTGTTTTGTAGGCTCTCACCCTTACCAGGAGGATCACTTCCTGTTGAATAGGAGCAAATATTACAAGGAGGAAATTTTAGCTGTCCCAGAATGAGACAGATCAAGCAGAAGCTTGGGGAGAGAGCAGAGCAGGGAGGAAATGGGTGACGAGGTGCCACTCAACACAAACTTGGGAAGGTGTGAAGCCTGTTGCTTTGCCTAAGGGGACTACAACAGCCCACACCTCGAAGACCACCTGGACCTCAAATCTGAATGCATCCTAGGGATGCAGCTTGTGGGCTTCCTGAGGGCAGCCTGCACTTCGCCTGCTGCAGTGACAACCTCCTACCCTAATACCAAGAAAGCATGAGCCGGTGGTGGGGCATCACAGGGGAGGCAGACAGCGAGCTACAAGAGGAGTGAAGCAATGTGGACAAGGCTCACAGTCCTACATGCTGAGGAAAAAGAAAATTCAGGATGTGTAAAGTAGGGCACTATTGCTACCAAGCCTCAGACCTGACCGCGAGCGTGTCACACACCTGCTGTGCAGTGTGAGGCAGACAGTGGCTCCCGGTCCCTGGGGCAGGGCCCCTACTGGGTTTTGTGCTAAAGTCACTGGAGAAGAGCACAGTGGATGTCTCTAACATAGGGGTGGTGGGAACCCCGGCCCACTTCTGAGTTCTTAAAATGTTTTATCCAGAAAAGAAAAACTGGGCTGTGGGGAGAGCATCCCTCACCTCACCCACTGTAGGCTCCTGCTCGCCAAGGCCCACAATGAGGATGCAGTCGGCCTGCCGGATGCAGCGCTGGGTCCAAGGGGTAAGTGTGCTGTCTGCTTGGTAGAGCACAATCCGATGGATGTCCTCCTGCTGCCCCAGCCAGCTGGATAACCGGTACTCGTGGATGCTGCAGAGGCAGCATAGGGTGAGAACAGCTAATACCCCACCTTCCTTTCCCCCACCCCACCCCTGGCCCAAGTCTGCGAACCAAGCACTGGTGTGGCCAGGCACAGGGGCTGGGGTGCTCTGTGGGGCTGTGAGAGGGTAGGGACGGGGGGCAGCCCGACAGGGCCCACACATGTGCTGAGCACCGTGCAACTGGGGAGTGCAGGTGCCGGGGAACAGGGACAGCAGCGTGTACCTCCAGGCTGTGCCTAGACCAGCAAGGAGGAGGCTGCTCTCTATGGGGACCAGTGGGGCTGGAGCTGGCGTACCTGTCCAGAGCTGCAGAGCCAAGGTGCTGTCTGATGTTGTCACTTGTCAGCAGCAGGACAGGGCCTAAGAACACAGCCCTCAGTCACCTCTGAGGACAGGTAAGGGGACCCTGAAGGGTACTGCTGTGGGAAGTGCAGGCCTGGGCTGCCACCTCTCCACTTGCCTGAACTTTGCTTCGTCCTGCTGTCAGGGAGACCATGTGTACACAGGTGGGAAAACAAGGTGGTGCATCTCCCCACATCCCGAGTTGGGGGCTGCCTGGCTCGAACCTAGTCACCCAGCTGGCAGGTGGGATGAATTCTTCCCACATCTGGTGTCTCCCACATTAGTACTCTATCATCTGTGACCAGAGCCAGCACCAGGATTCCAGGAAAGGCCAGCAGCAGTGAAGGGAACAGACAGAAAGAGAGTGGTACTGGCCCTCATGGAGCCACGGCTGCGGTCACTGCATTGGGAAAGGACCAGGATCTCAGTGCTGGGTGTGGGAAAGCCGCAGGACCTCGGCAGCCTGTTTACCCTGATATGGTACAGGAAGGTCTGATCATCTCAACAAGCTTTACCCACAGTGTGCAGTTAAGAGTTAAGCAATAAGAGATCACAAAGTCTCACTGTGCTGCCCAAGCTGGCCCTGAACTTGTAGGCTTAAGCAATCCTCCTGTGCCTTAGCATCCCAAGTGCTAGGATTACATGCTTCCAGCAATTGTAACACAGTTTAACTGGCAGCGTATTTCTTAGAGACAACAGAGTAAGGGTGCCCTGACTGCTGGAAGGGTCACTGGCACGTGGCTGTCACAGCTTTGAGTTAAACTGCAGAAGCAGCCCCACCCCAGGAGGCTTTGGGCTCCAAGTCCCACAGGGAAAGCACTCCTGGCCTGCAGACTGGGATGAGAGCTCCAGTCAGTGGCTATAGAACACTGTATTCCTGGCACCTTCCCAGGCTGGAAGATTACGCAAGGTACACAATTCATCTTCTCCACCTCTCCACTCCAGGAGGCTCTGGAGCCAGGCCTCATCTGGCTACAGGGAACCCAGGCTAGGCTTCACCTGCCCCTAAGTTGAATACTACTGCTCTAGGCCCCCTGCTTAGATTTGGAGGGTCCCAGGCAGGGCAGCCAGGGAATCGTGGAGCTCCCAAGGCAATACTTGGGTTCTCTTGCCCAGGCCTCAGGCCCTGCTGACCAGGACAGTTCTGACCACTCTCTCCTGGGAGGAGTTGCCCCAAGGACCTGGTTCTTTGTGTGGAGACAGAGTTCTTCCTCTTGGGGGACACAGTGCTACAGGGCCAAGCTGAGAGAGGCCCCGGCCTGCTGCAGTTGAGTCTTCCAAAGAATGGGGGCTCTGCTATCTCCAGCTCTGTGGGAGGTGAATATGCAGGCCATAGCCCCAGTCTGCTCTGGCGTGGACAGCACCACTGGCCAGGCTGCCAAACAGCTTCTTTTCTAAATATCTGGGTACCAAAAGAAGAGTGGATGCTCCATCTGTGCTAGAAGAAAATGCGTCTCGGCCCAGAGCTCTACTGAGCAGAAATGCCCTCTGTGAGAAGTGGCCCACAGAGGCATCCACCTGCCTTGAGGCAAAGGGGATACAGCAGCCCAGTGGGTGGTGTGGCCCCTGTGAGGGAGAGTCTGTGAACAGGACAGAGTAGGACAGGTCTCCTGGAGGCTTTGAGCTCACCCGCTTCTGCCTGTCTCATTGTGATTCCTAAGAATTGCCATGGGATACCAGGGAGTGTAGCACCAAGGCAGAGAAGCAGCAGAGATGCAGGTTCCCTCCTGACTCTGGAATAAGGGCATCCTCTGGCACTTTAGCCAGGGTGCATGAGACCCATCCTGCTGCTTTTCATGGCCAGAGCAGTTTTCCTGACCCCTCGGGACCCACAGCCAGTGAATCCTTGACTCCCACTGTCCCATTCCGCCACCTGCAAGTGATGAACCTGCTTTGTTTCCGGCCTCTTAGGCCAGATGAGGGGGTGACCAGAGCACACAAATTTGCTCTGTTACTTCTGCCTTACACCAGGACCAAAATCAATCCCAGGGAGAGGGCAAATTTAAAAGGAAAGATTAAAACAACAAAGTTTTGTAGGGTTTTTTTTGGTTGTTTTTTTTTTTTTTTTTTAGCTCAGCAGTTCGGTGGCCTGTCTTGCAAGTGCAAGGACTGGAGTTCAATCCCTGGTACCAAAAATAAATACATAAATAAATAAATAAAAATAAATAAATTTTTTTTGAGGCAGGATCTCAATAAAGTATTAACTATTAAATTGCCCAGGCTGGTCTTGAATTTGTAATACTCCTAGCTTAGCCTCCCAGATCACAGGCACGCACATCATGCCTGATACAACAAGGTTGAGGGTAGGATGAGATTTCCTCAATAAAACACAAAAGCAGTAACCATATGAGAGAAAAATGACCTACAATACAATTAAGAACTTCTGTTTGTCTAAAGGCAGATTAAAAAATAAGAAATCAAACCATACCAGAAAGAGACCATATAAATGCAGGCAGCTGATCTGACAAAAGAGCTAAGGTGCTATGATGGCAGAAGGGGAGGATACCCACATGCAGGATGGCCGGGCAGACACTGCTCTGGCTGTAAAGCTGCTGCACAGATCTCATGCACAAGACCAGTGCAAACACAGAACCATGAAACTCCCAGAGGATGGAAGGCGTGGAGGAGAAAATCCAGATGACCTCATGTTTGGTGATGACTTTGAAAACGTTGCCTAAGGTGTGATCCAAAATACAAATAACTTAGAAGCTGTACTTGCACTGTGTAACAACCACTCTGCAACAGACACTGCCAAGGAACTAAGAGGACAGAACACAGACAGGAGAAAGAATCTGCAAAAGACAGAGCTGGCAGAGATTGTTACTAAACTTTCAACTACAAGAAAACACTTCAGTTACAAAGTGGGCCAACAATATGCAAAGACACCTAACCAAAGTAGATGTACAGACAGGAAATAAACTTCTGGAAAAGCACTCCATGGTCATGAGAGAAAGGCAAGTTAGAACAGTGAGAAGCTGCCATTTGCATCTCAGAAAGGCCCCAGTGCACAGGACCGCAGCGCAGGCGACAGGAGGAGGTGATGAGGAGCTCTCAGCCCCGTGGTGGGAATGGCACGTGGCCTGCCGCGCTCCTCAGAACCTGCACACACTCTCACCACAGGACCCAGCAGCGGCACTCGGCGTTTATGTACCCAGCAGAGCTGGAACCTTGTGTCCACACAGACGCTTGTACTCAGATGTCTATGACAGCTTTATTCACAGTTTACTCAAAACCTGGGGTCAACCAAGACGTCCTTCAGGAGGTGAGTGGATAAATACTGCGTCCATCAAGACAAGGAATATTATTCAGCGCTAAAAAGAAGGGAGTTCTTGAGGAATCAAAAGACATGAATGAGGGCTGGGGATTTAGCTCAGTGGCACCACACCTGCCTTCCAAATGCAAGGTCATGAGTTCAATCCCTGGTACCAAAAAAACAAAAAAATAAAACAAAAAAAAAGGAAGCCAGGTAAAGTGATATATCCCTGAAGTCCCAACATTCTGGAAGGCTGAACTAGAAGGATTGCAAGTTTGGACCCAACCTGGGCACCTGAGCAAGACTCTGCCTTAAAAAAAATAAAAATTAAACTAAAAATGGGCTGGGTTTATAGCTCAGTGTGAGGTCCTGGGTTCAACTCCTAATACCATAAAAATTTAAAATAAAACAAACAAACAAAACAACAACATGGAGGAGCCAGCATAGTAGCATACACCTGTAATTCCAGCACTATGGGAGGCTGAGGCAGGAAGATCACAAGTTTAAGCCCAGCCTGGACAGCACAGAGATTTACTGAAACCCTGCCTCCAAATAAACAAACAAAAAATAAATAGGGCTGGGGATGCTGCTCAGTGTGAAGACCCTGAGTTCAATCTCTAATAACACAGACACAGAACATGGAGGGAATTTAAATGCATATTACTAAACGAAAGAAGCCAATCTAAAAGACTACATACTGTAGAATCACAATTACATGACATTTTCTGTGAAAAGTAAGCTAGGGAGACAATGAAAAAAGATCAGTGGTCACCAGTATTTTTTGGGGGGTGATGAACAGAGCACAGAGGAAGTACAGGGCAGTGAACCTAGTCCATAGGACACAGGAATGGAGGACACACGTTGCTACCCAACTGTTCAAGTCCACAGAGTCACTGGGGCAAAGCTCCACACGCAGCCCTGATGTGTCAGGGGTTCTTGATGGTCACAGATGCTCCCTAGGGATCATGAGTAGTAGGGAGGCTGTACAGGAAGCAAGGCAGGGAGTAAACGGCACATCTCTGTACATTCCTCTCCATTTTGCTATGCACCTAACACCAAAGCAACTATGTCTACTAAAAGAGAAAAAAAGTTGTCTCTCTGTACACACACACAGACTGATCACTCACATACACCAATCTGCAGAATAAGAATGCAAACAGCCCAACCAGAAAAATGAGCAGAAGGGGCTAAAGGCATTGCTTCATTATAGAGCACTTGCCCAGCATGTTCATCTCCAGCACTGAAAACAAAAAAGAAAGTGAACAAAAGATATAAATACATTTCACTAAAGAGAATGTACAAAGACAGCAAGTACATGAAAAGATGTTCACCGTCACTAGCACTGGAGACGTGAAGGAGGGCTGGGAATACTAATTAGAAATGTGCCACCCCTTACATCTGTCAGGACACCTAAACTAAGAAGTACTGACAACACAAAGTGCTGGCAAAGACGCGAAGAAACTGGTCCCCTCATACATGGCTGGTACGATGCACAAAGGTAGGCACTTCCCCGTAAAATGGAACACACTTTTCCCACACTTACCATACTCCTGGGCATTGATCCCAGAGAAAGGAAAACTTCTGTGCACACAAATATCCAGGACACAAAAGATCAGAGTAGTTTTCTTTGCAGTACCTCAGACTGGAAGTCACCCCCACCCCAAAGGACAGTGGCTGGACGAATGGCAACACCCATAGAGGGACACTCCGCAATGACAGGAAGGCCAGTCCCAAGAGGCTATCCACTGCCTGGCTCCCTTTTCATGCCATATGGTACAAGTGGAGCACTGGAATTTGCTTCTTCTTGATGGACGGCCCATTCCAGATTCAAACCAGGATGGACCCACTAGCCCAGGAGTAGATTCACCACGACCCTCTGCTACCCAACAACCTGATCCCCACGAGGGTGCTGTCCTTCTGAGGGCCAGCTACCCACCATAGCTGCTAGTGTGTCTTCTAGGAAGTAAGACAGCTGACATACGCCCCCAGGCAGGCTCAAGAGCAAAGGCAGGGTCCTCAGGGACAGGGATGAAGGTCAGGGATGGCATCCCAGGGATCGTGCTGAGGGGCAGGGATGGTGTCCTGGGTCAGTGCTCAGCCTTCCTCTATCTTAAATGTTTCTACCTGTGGAACATTTCTTTTTTCTCTTTTGAAGTACTGGGAATTGAACCAAAGGCCTTTGCATTGTGCTACTGCCCCAGCTCTTCTTTTATTTTTTTGAGATAGGGTCTCACTGAATTGCCCAGGCTGAGCATACTCACAATCTGCCAGAGTAGAGCTGGGACCTCACCCCAGGGTGCAGATGCTGGCCAGGGCCAGGCAGACTCACCGATGGCTCTGAGTGCATGCTGCAGCTCCAGGGCAAAGGCGGTGAGCGGTACATCCTCAGACACAGGCATCACTGCCACTGTGGACAGGTTTCCAGCCGTGTTTCCTGTGTCCCACTTGCTTCCTGCCTCACAGAGGCCAAGCTGGTAACCTGCAGAACACAGGGTAGGCATTGGCTGGGCATCCATGGGACAGCCCTGCCTTGACCAGAGCAACTCCCACATCCTTCCAATGGGTGGTTGGCCCTGGGCACACATGGAGCTGGCTAGGAGGGACCCGCTCTGCCCTCTGGAGCTTGGTGACTCAATGAACTCAGGTAAAACCTTCTGCCAGGTGAGAGGGCTCCTCACATGACCCAGATCCCTGCAGTTTTCTACCACACACTCTAGAAACAGCACAGGCTAAGGACTGGCAGAGTGCACTTGGTGTCCGGAGCCAGTGGAGGTGTGAACAACTCCCAAAAGGCTGTGCTGGGGTCAGGGTAGACAGGGAGATACCAGCAGAACTGCCTGGGGGTAGTGCTGCAGGGGCTCCTCCAACAGCCCAGACCTTCACCCGAGCTTCCACATGGGTGGAGGGCCCACAACTGGCATATCCTCAAGGAGCATACACCTGGGCCCTGGTTCATCAGCCTCACCTGAGGGCCCTGCCACAAATTACTCCCATCACCAAAGTCCCTTTTTGAAGCACACCTTCCTCCACGTTGGTAGCCGAGGGCACAACCTTGTCACACCTGCCAGGCTCTGCCATTGCCAAGTTCCTTTCTGCCTGGGACTCCTGTGGCCTATTCCCCTCTGTAGTGTCCTCCCCTGTGAGCCCAGCATAATCAAGTCACTGTGGCTCCTAACCCTGACCCTAATCCTGTAGCACAAAGAGGGCACTGCCCAACCAGAGGCAGGAGGTAGAGAAAGGGATACATCAGACTTATGTGCAGAAGCTCTGCAGAGGCTCTGAGAAAGGAATAGTGCAGAACCAGCGCTTCCACCCTGGCCCTGGGAATGCACAGGCAGGGCAGGCAGTGCAAGACCTTGAGGTCATTGGCAACCCGGTCCACAGAAGTGGGCAGGACAGGGGGTGTGACTGCACGGTGATGGCCTGAACAGCCACAGTGTGAATGGGAGCCTAGAACTCAGTGTCAGCACGACCCAAATGGCCAGAGCGCCAAGAGCAGGACGCCTTAACTAGAGCAAGAAATGCTAATCCAGACAGTGATGACAATCACAAGGCTTGGAACTATTTCACCTGGACCATGAGGTAGCTTCTATAACCAACTAGAACCAGTAATTGTGAACATACCTAAAAACAAACCCAAAAGCAGAACATCTTCACAGAGATACAAAGGGGAACCAAAATTCAGTAACTGAAAAAAAATCTTCCTGGATAGGCTTGATAGCAGAATCAAGGTGACAGAGGAAAGAAGAAAGTAATATTGAAGACAGATCAAAAGAGACTATTCTATCTGAACATCAGAGAGAAAAAAGATGCAAAAAATATGAACAGTGCCCCAGAGACCTTTGAGACAATAATAAAGGCCTAGAATTGGTGTCATTATATTTCCAGAAGTAGAGAATGAATTCAAGGTTGAAAGAATATTTGAAGAAATGTGGTTAAAAATTTCTCAAATTTGGTAAAAGATATAAAACTATAGATTTAAAATGAGCAAGGGTCAGGGATTTAGCTCAGAGGTCTTTGCCACCTGCCTCGCAAGCATAAGGACCCAAGTTCGATCCCTGGTATCAAAAAATAAAATAAAATGAGCAAACCCTAAATAAGATAAATCCAAATATCTTTTGCCCAGACATTTCAAAATCAAATTTCTAAAAACTAAAGACAAAAAAAAAGTCTTGAATTCAGCCAGAAACAAACAACAAATTAGCTATCTGTGAAGAATTTAAAGACAAGATGAGCCTTCTTTATGTGAAATGCTTAGGACCCAAAGTGCTTCAGATTTTGGAACATTTGTGTAGACTATTGGTTGAGCTGCCCTAATTTTAAAATCTGAAATTAAAAACATTTTCAGTACCTACCCGACATACAAAAGTTCAGATCTTGGATTCTAAATTTTTTAATCACGGAGGCTCCACTTTACCTGAGTTTCTATAAGGGAGAGCCCAAAACTTTTAAAGTGCTGAACTATAAGAGGTATCAAACTAGAATTCTATACCCAGTAAAGACAACCTTTACTTTCAGGGCAAAGGTGAAGACACTCTCAGACAAAGACAAAAAGAACTGCTAACAAAGGCGCTTCAGGTGGAAAGGGAAGGGTTCCAGGAGGAGCCCCAAGACCAAGAACAGAGAAGAGCAAGAGACAGGAGCCGTCCAGGTGAGCAGCACGGGTGCTTTGCCTTGTGACTTAACAGCTGAAAGACAGGCCAACACTTAGCAGGGTTCCCAACACATGTAAAGGCTGCTTTTAAGACAGACCTGGCAAGGGGAAGAGTGTGGACCTGTGCAAGGACAGCGTCTCACCTCTCCCAAGAGAACAGTACTGGGCCAACACATAAGGATCAGTGTGAGTCCCGGGGTCCCTAATGGGGCCACTGAAGATCTTCCAGGAAGAGATAGGGGAAACCACAGTTGAAAAATAAATGTGAGGTGCTCAAACAGGCCAAGGTATAGTGATGCACTCCTATAATCCTAGCTCTTAGAGGCTGAGGCAGGAGGATGGCAAGTTCAAGACAAGTCTAGACCACTTAGCAAGTTAGTGAGATCCTGTCTCAAACAAAACAAAACAAAACAAAACAAACAAAGAGCTACAACTACAGCTCAGTGCAAGCCCCAACATCACAAAAAAATAAAATAAAATAAACGGTCAGGCAACCCCCCAAAAAGATAGGAAAACAGGGTAATATTGGGTTTTTTGGTGGGAGAACAGAAAAAAATAAAATGGCAGAGATGAATCCTAACAGAATAATTATATTAGGTATAAATGGTCTAAACGGATGGAAGATAGTGATTACTATTAAGGATGACAAAAATACAACTCAATTATATGCTACCTGTAAGGAACTCACTCCAGACACAACAGTCCCAGCACTTTGAAAGCAAAGGGTGGTGTCCCCCATCTCAGCACTCAGAACCCCAGAAAAGCTCACGTGGCTCAGTAGAGCAAGCTGGGCGGAGCAGAGCTCCACTTTCCCCTTTCTACCTCGACCCACTCATCCCTGTGCGCACGTGCAGACCCGGCCCTCACGCAGCTCCTGCGTCAGCGCCAGGATGCACACGCACGAACCAAGAAGGCTAGTCAGTAGAAAATCAAGCAGAAAAGGGGGACCCAGAGCACCGGGGCTTGGATGGAGGCTGGGGTGGAGGGGAGCCAAGCACCCAGACAGCAGGAGGCCCCCATGTCTGGGGCCACATGGCAAGCTGGGACTCTCACAAGTGGGCTCCAGGGGAGGGGCCGGCCAGAGGCCAGAAGGGCACTGGGGAAAAACAAACCGGCTGAAACCGGATTTGAAGCACCCAGCACCCTGGAGTTGCTTCCCCAGCTTCCCTGATTGGTGGGGGAGAGACAACAGCAGCCTCCCGCCTTCCACAATCTCGGTTTCCTTCTTCTAATCAGCTAGTGAAAATAAGAAGATACAGCGAATTCCTTCCCACGAGCAGAACTCCCCTGAGCACTGCTCACCCAAGATGCACTTCAGAAAACCTCTCGCACTGCCACAGTGAGCAATCCCTCTACCGGCCTCATGGATCAGGGCTGCCCCGCGTGGGGCCCTGGGCCTTTCCTGAGCGGTAGTCCAGCATCCTGTGCCAGCCCCTGTGCCTCCTCTCTCAGAGCCAAGTGGAGATGTGCCGTGGCACTGCTTCGGGTGGGGCTGGGCTCTGGGCAGGGAGGGCAGAGATCCCCGGACAAGAGGCCCAGGAAGCTGGCAGAGAGCTGAGTGGCTGGGGCTCCAGAGACAAGGAGGTGCCGCGGGGTGGGCAG